CGCCCTCTGCCAGTCCCGGAGGTAGCGCACCCGGCACTTTCCGACGGGTGGGGTAAGAAGGCAGGTTGACGCGCGCTTCGGTTCTTGGGATGAGGTAAACGCCAGGCCATCCGACTCGCGCGTATTCCGCTTCGCGCGCTCTCTGGGCAAGCCTTCGGGACGATCTTATGCTTTGAAACCGCTGCAGGCAGAAGTTCAGCGGGCGAAGCTTTCTTCGGTGCAGAACGGGGCTAGTTCAGTTTCTGCCTGGCAGTGGCCGTTACAGGCGGGAGAAGAAACCCAAAAGGCCTCTACTGTGCTGTATTGGAAACGCGTTAGATAGCGGAAAGAATCTGTCAATCAATCTCCTGTTCACCCGCGAGCCTTGAGCGGGTTAATCGTATCAGCCCAAACGCGTTCAAGGGGTTAAGCTTTGATGGGGAGGAAAGAGAAAGGGTGCAGCACATAACTCCTGCTCCGGGAAACGTATCCCGGTTCTAAATTGGAAAATAAAGCGGCTGGTGTTCGGTGCTATTTTGTCCTGATCGTAATCATTAGAAAGAGGAGTGAAATGCAGCCTACATAAATTTAAAGGAGCACTTACTTTATACCGGGCTTTACCTGGTCCGGTGCACTTCCAAAGTGTTGGGATTACAATTCCCAGAATTCCAAACGCATATTAGCATGCTGCCTGGGAATTCTGGGAGTTAGGATTAGAACATTTCTGGAGGACTCCAGAGTGGAAAAAGCTTTATAACAGCTGCTGGGAAATATTCTGGCAATTGGAAGCTTCTCTTCTTGTTATTGCTGCTTTTTTGTTTATTGGAAGCAGTGTGTATGGTAGTGATGTCACTCTCACTGAGATTTCCTTTGGTGGAGAGATTTAGTGTGGTGGAGGGGATCAGTGTTGTCTTGTACTCCTGATTTTAGTTGTGTTTTGAAACCTGGCTGATTTCTGGAGTTCCTGCATTGAATAGCATAAGTTTAAAAAGTAAGGCTCTTTCAAATTTTCTGAAGTTTTATAAGAGTGAGTGAAATTCAGAATTTCCAATGTACTGAATACCAAACAGAAAGCTGTTATATTTTCCAGTGAATGTGTACTGATAATAAGCTGTACTGCACATAACTCTGCAGGAAGTTATGTGGCTGTGTGTGAAAGGCTTGAGATTGAAGCTGTTGATTTAGGAAGTTTATAACTAACCTCTGTACTTTCTTTTTAGTAATACATAATTTTAGTATTAAGTGACTTGAAAGTTTTTTGTAGCTACAGTTTTTATAAAGTAGGTTTCACAGCAAACAAATTTGTCTTTGAACATCTCAAAAGCATAGCAAATAAATCTCCTGCAAAGTTATCCTAATGGGGGTATGACATTTCAGTTTTACTGCTTGATAATGTGTCTTGAGTCATTGTGAAAGTTATTACATAGCTTAATTAAAAATTAAACGCTGCACTTCCCTATTAGCTAGCTGTACTGCAAAATCCAAGTGATATATCCTGAAATGGAAACATCAGCACTGATAGACTGAGTGGGTTGCCTTTTGTTCATTCTGGCTTTCCAGACAAATTGTGTGTACATCTTTTATGCCTTCTCCCACAGCATTTAGATATGAAATCCAATGACACTTTATAATTAAGTCATTATAAACCTTTCTCTGTGAGAAGGGGATATCACCTCCAACTGTCTGTCTCAAAAGATATTCCATAATGAAAAAAAGTAACAGCTGCACTGTTCACATGATGCTTGATAGGGGCTTCCAACTGGGCTTCTGGGTCTTAAAAGATATACTAGCTTTCTTGCAAATATTTCCTTATGTTTGGCATCTGCAATAAAATACTATCCACTACAAATTGCTTGCCTTTCATTCTATACATATCTATTTGGAAACAGAGGCTAAAAAACATCTCAGTAAGACTCTAGCTTTGTCCCCATTGTGGCTATCTTTATTAAGCTAACATCACAATAAAACTATTTTCTCTAAAATGTATAAACTGAATATGCACATGTAGAAAATCTTGCCAATTTTCTTTCTACCAGTTTTGATTATTTCCCGTGTTCAGGTTTTCAGCCCCAGATAATGGAATTAATTATTTGTGGCACATCTTTTTAATATTCAGGGTCTTCCAATTTTCCAGGGAAGGAAGCAACTATATTGAATCAAAATAGCAAGTAAGTAGATGTAATACTTTGTTCTGCATGATTAAGATATCCCTCAAATCCCTCCAAGGAATCTAAAACTTTCTTAAAATAGTTTGAAATGGTTAGGACGAAGTTGTTTTATGTAATATATATAATGGAATATATTTTGTCCTGAAAAATATTGTGTTTAATCACCAAGATACAAACCAATACAGATCATTGAGAGACCACTCACAGACTTTGTAAAATGAGTCAAGCTCGATTTAAAGAAGTCTTTATCTTTGTCTCATCCAGTGGAGGTAGCAGCCAAAATGGAGCAAACTTTCCACTGCACTGGCAATAATGTAAGCTTAGGACTGCTCAGTTAGTTTTTATTTATTATTATTTTATTTACTATTAGATTTATATGCTGCCTTTACTGTGTACAACTAAGGCAGTGTACATAATGCTTTTGCATCCTGTTTCCCCCACAACAACAAACCTGTAAGATGGGTTGGGCTTTCATGCTTAAGGAAGGACTTGAGCCAGCTTTCATACTTAAGGGAGAACTTGAACTCACAGTCTCCTGGTTTCTAGTCCAATACCTTAGTGTAGAGGACAGAGGGAATAACCTTGAGGGACAGGAGGAAGAGCCACTGTCAATACACCAGTCAGATAAAAGAGGACTGAATGAATGATAAAAGAGGCAGGGATGTCTCAGAGAAGCCCCTCCCTAGTTCTCACAAAGATAAAGGAAGGAAGAGGGGAAACATATTCAGACTTGCAAGATTCTCTTACTACTGTATAGCTTTACAGTAAAAGTAGTACTTGACCTATATGACATTGGATTCCTAGTCAGATCTTCCTTGAAGGACTGACACTTAACCATAATACTAAACAGCCATGTGAAAGTTTAAAGAGGTAACTATATTTTTGTATAGTGTAGATTCCAGAAAAAAATGATAAAATGAAATGGAAGGATAAAAAAGGTACAATACTAAATCTATCCAGTACAATTCTTTTTTAGAATTAACAACAAAGCATATTTGGCAAATGTTAGTTTACACTTATCGCAGAACTGAATGAAAATTCTCCTAAGGTTTTAAAAACATGTACGTTTAATCAATTTTATAACTATGCCATTAAGAGTAATCAACTTTGGCTTTTTGATCACAACAGCTTATGTAGTTTTAGATATGTGTCAGTGTCTTATAAAATGCCATGATAGATAATAACAGAAATAAAACAAGTCAAAGCCTATATTCAATACAGTACTGGCTGTTAATTTAATACAAATCACTAGCAACATTCTGTTTTTTTTTTAATGGAACAGCAATATGCATTTCTGAGAATCTTAGCTTTTATTGTGTCAAATTTCTAACTATCATTGCAGGGTGACCTGGCAAAACCATGTTATTTGCAGAAGGGGACATATGAAAGTATTTTTAGTGATAAAAATAGAGATAAGAATAGCTAACTAAGAAGATTTGTGAACAAAGCATTTCTAACTCTTCTGAAATTGACTCATTTGTTTTACCAGAACTGGGTGGCATAGCTGAAATCATCAGAGGGATCTTTCTGATTGGTCAAGCGCTTGAATTTGGTTTTCTGCTTTCAACTCTTTAAGAGAAACAGCAAGATGCAATCATACTTCCAAACATAGCTAGATTTATAGATCATGCTGATTTATGGCTTGATTATTTTTGATTTAGCACACATGCCCATTATATGAACCCAGATTATTATGGCTTGTTCAAAAACTAAAGTTTAAAAATCCTGTCTTAGCAATATATGTGAATGCTGCCAGGGTTGAATAGAAACAAAAACAATGGGATTGAGATTTGTTTTGGGGCAGCAATCTGTTGATACCAAAGAAATACCAAAACAGCACCCAAGATAGCTCATGCATGCAATACGTAGTAGAATCTGAGCAAAAGTTCTAAGCACATATTTATAAAAGTAAAATCTGTTATATCAGAAGTATATATTTTCCTAACACTTGTTTATTTATCACAAAGATACCAAGTTTTAAGAAATATATAGGCTAAGGCTATAAAAACTATGGACATTTCATAGAATTAATCTACTCTGCAACTGTCTCTGCTCCCCCGCCCCATCCATACACACTATTTTCCTAGGAACAGGGGAACCCTTGGAAATAATAGATGTTTTGAAG